CGGTCTGTGGGGGTGGCCAGTCTTTGGGTGACGGACGTTAAACCCAACAGTTCACCTCGCCAACCTACACTAGCCCAAGTTGAGCTTAGGGTCTCGAATGCGGGACCACCAACAACATCATCTTCAATGTCATCTTCAACATGATCAAAGAAACCATCATTCATCAGATACACAAACTTGCAGTTCGCGCCTAATAGAACATATGGCCTTTGATACATCCCAAAGCCAAGTCGACTTCTGGCTCGATAACTTACCACATGATACCGCTGCGTTTCCCTCTCTAGACCTCAAGCGCCGACGATCATCCGAGCATAGCGAATCGCGCAAACGACGTCATCCAATTTCTCCTCCAAGATCGGGCGCAGGACATTCTTCTCCATCGCCTGAGCCCGATCTCATGCTTCCCTCGACACCGAACAAGTCTTTAGTAAAGCGGCCCTCGGACGAAGCAAATACCGATAAGGACGAAACACCACGAGCTAGTACAAGAAGTGAGAGAGGGCCAATAAGCAATGCACCTGATTTTAAAGCTCGAAGCCAAAGTACAAGCCAGAGCGATACTTGCTCGCGCGGTAGCAAACGATCGAAACGGTCTCAATCACCAACGAAAAACTTCCCCTTGTATGGTCCCGAAGGACGCCGTCTTGTCAGAGCCTCGCTTGGCTTTACGAACGCACTTACGCTACCTCAAGCTCTACGACAACTTATTGGTGAGATGAGATGCGTGTCGGCGAAGAATGGAATTATGCCGCAGAGGTTCAAGACAGAGTTGGAGAAGCTTCCTGAGGTGGAATGTTTCATGGAACCATTGTTTGATTACATGTTCTATGATGACGAGATAGGCGCTGAAAGTGAAAGACTGGTAAAACGGGCTGGTGCAGAGGAGTTGGTCCGCAGGGCTTCTCGTATCGCTGAACGGTCTAGTGACTGTGCCAGCATGCTAAGCGACGAGGCAGCTTGGAATGGCCTGGTGCATACGCCGTTGCTGGAGATGCTGGTTTCTGATATGAGAGATGCACCGGAACATAAGATCTTGGACTTCATGCCATGGTAAGATACGCTTTGCCATCAGTTCAGCAACATGCTGACCATGTCTCAGTACCACGACCAATATCGACTTGCCATATCACAGGTTTGCTGAAAGCGCAAGTCGTGTTGACTATATATTTCGATTCCATCCTAAACACGACATTGCCATCTTGACTGGGAATGCACCACTGCCATCGCAACAAGAGCCACAGCAAATACAACCAGAGACCGCGCCATGTTGCAACTGGACATCTGACAGGATGCTACAACAGTACCCTTTAGGCATCTCCATCGAAACTAAGCGTCACGGCGGCGACATAGCTAAAGGTGAACAGCAGCTCGCCATCTGGCACGCAGCCCAATGGGAGTTCCTTCGCTCACGCGCTGGTCCTTCTGCCGTCGGTGAACTTGGTTTTCTTCCCGGTATAGTGGTACAAGGTCACTCTTGGTCACTTGTCATCACGACCTGGAATCAAGCTATAACGGTAAGTGTATTGTTTAGTTGAATGTGAGGAGTGTGTATTGATATTTTTGGATAGACGGTACTACCGAATGTGGAATTTGGAAGGACGGATTCGACTGTTGGTGTGCTTCAGGTCATCGCTGGGTTACGGAAATTGAGGGCTTGGTCGATGGATACGCTTTGGCCATGGTATAAAAGGAATTTGCCTGAGCTAAGGAACTCGACTGCTGACAACTAATCTCTTTACAATATATATGACTATAGTTGATAATTAAGAGGGATTTTGTGCATGGCCAATCCTTAAAACATAAGTAGAGCAGTCTTATGCTTACTACTGCTTGATCACCATAGTATTACCCTACTGTGCAGTCAGGATGGTGGTTCGGCGAAATACAACAAAACTGGCCAGTGCGCGTTGCTGGGTTATTGTATCAGGTCCATGCACGTATTGTATCCCAGGTAATCTAATGAATTACGGCAATGTGGCCTGTGGACATGCTTATTTTGGATTTCCTCCATTGATCCTCATTGCC